CAGTGTGTTCCAGTTGCAGAAAAAAAACTAGAACAGGCTGAATTTTTCCTCCACAGAACTGTACTGGAACGTGGTAAAATGCATCAAACACGCACTGGAACGCATTAAAAACACATTGGAATGCATATGACCCTAGTTAAATTGAAGAAGAGGAGAGGGGAAAAAATGAACCAGAACGCATCACAAAATGCACCGGAATGCGTCAGATTTTCATAGAAAATGCACCGGAACACGGCAAAAACACGTAAAAACGTGCATGTGGAAATGCATCCAGAATGCATCTGGATGCGTTTTTATGGTGTGACCTAGTGCCTGGTCATACCGGTGCGATTTCAGATGGGAATTTAAATTGCACCTGAAATCACATCTAATGAATGTGAATGTCAGTGTCTTAACATTTGCTATTTGCTGTAGCACAATTTCTAAAGTAGATCTTGCATTACTTTTTCTGCAGTTATGTTGCAATTTCACGTACATAGAATATAATGGCAATCGCATTGCAAATTGCAAAACATCTTCACAAGTAGCAATAAAGTGGCACACAAATCATGCGATTTTAAATCTTAGCTGTGACCTGTGACTAAATGTTTAACCTCCCTGGCGGTATGATTATTTCAGATTTTTGGTGCTGAAAGCGGTACCATTATTTTGCATGGATATTTGGCGTTTTATATCGTAGGCCTGTAATTCTTAGGAATAACTCACTGAAATCTGTCCGAACAAGAGTCTAGTAAACATCCCGGGTAGGATAAAACTTGAAACATGAAATCATAAATTATAATTTAATAAATAATCATAAAAAATATAATAATAATATAATAATAAATTTAATTCAATAATATAATCAAACCAAAAACACTGAAATTTGAAATATAGCGCCAAGTTCGCCCATCACTGAGCAAAGTCGCAGAATCGTTTTCAGTGTCTGATGATGAATTTCCCCCACGAATCATTATCACTCAATTCTGCAAGTAGTTCTAATTTACTATCGCTGTTCTCTAGCTGGTCTCAAACCGCTTTTGACCTAAAGGGACGTTTTTTGGACGCCATGGACGTTTCTCAGTTTCCAAGCAGAAAGAACAGTAAAAATGCAGGCAGGGCACAGGACAAAGCAGTAGGGACAAAATGTATGTGAAATGGTTTGATACAGTAATGTTTTACTATGTGATTTTAGTGTATTTAGTGAATGTCACTTTTTGTCATTTTCAAATTTCCCGCCAGTTCCGTACCCCGTACGTCCCGACGCACGCAGGGGACGGAACCCAGATGACAGATGCTGGCATCCGCTGGATTTCATTGCCGGGGACACTGCAGGAGGGACATCGCGGGAGCGCAGGACAAGGTAAGTGATTGAGGGTACTCCGGTTTCCTCCCACACTCCAAAGACATGCAGGTAGGTTAATTGGATCCTGTATAAATTGTCCATAGTATGTGTATGTATGAATGTAAGTTAGGGACCTTAGATTGTACACCCCTTGAGGGTTAGGGACTGATGTGAATGTACTATATATATGTAAAGCACTGCGTAAATTGATGGTGCTATATAGGTACTTGAAATAAAATGATGTAAATGGATGTAAATGGATGGAGAAGGATGTAAGCTGATGTAAACAGATGAAAAACGGATATAAAATTGATGTAATCGGATGAAAACATATGTAAACAGATGAAAAATGGATGTAAATGACTGTAAAACAGCTGTAAACAGATGAAAAATGGATGTAAACAGATGTAAATGGATAAAAAAAAACGGATGTAAATGGATATAAAACAGATGAAAAATGGGTGTAAACTGATGAGAACAGATGTAAATGGATATAAACTGTAAAATTGATGTAAATGGATGAAAACAGATGAAAAAACGGATGTGAACTGTTGAAAAACGGATGTAAACTGATCCGTTTTGTCTTTGAAAAAACTTGACTATACTGATGAAAAAAACAGAACTCCGATGTGAAAGGACCTTTATCTTTCTTTGGCCCCATGTACATGGGACGTTTCTGAATGATGGAAAGTGACTGCTGGAAAATGTAGGTTAAAAAAAGTCTGTTTAGCCGCGTCTGCATAACGCATTTATGCACTTTTGCGTTTAGAAGCGTTTTTTAAAGATTTAACACAGGAGAACTTCCCAAATGCCCAGAATGCACTGAAAAGTGGTAAATTATTAACTATTTCAGACTGTTTTAGAGAGATACACACAGTAGACGTAGAGACAGCAGTATGTGTTGAGATAATTAGGTGTGAGTTGCTCATTAACATTTATTTTGTTTCCAAGGGTGGGAAAGGTGTCTGGTGGAGTGAGTCATTAAGGTCACCTGGCAGGGGGTCTTCATGAGGAATTTGAGGTGTGAATGGTCATTAACATATCTTTTGTTTCCAAGGGTGGGAGAGGTCTGCGGTGTGAATTGGTCATTACAATGTGTGACAAGCTTGGTAGGAACATCCTGTGTTCAGTGTTTTGTCCATCTGAGCACCTTGAAAATGCTTTGCATGCATTTTTCATGATGAAAAAAGGCTCTGGACAGCATTGGGAACTGGAAGAATTAAAAAAGAATTTCAGACACAAATGCTTATAAACGCAATTTGCTGCATTTACAAGTGTTTGGCGTTTGAAATGCTGATAAAATCAAGTGCTGAACACAGGTTTTCTGTGTTCAAAAAAACGACTGTAAACTCAGCTACCTGTAAACGACTGTAAACGAAGTTATGTACATGGACACATAGGAAAACATTAAGGAGAGTTCAGGGGCTGCTGAAAAAATGCTGAAAAGCTCCGAAACGCGAGTTTATCAGCTGCAGTCAGGGACGGACTGACAACTCATGGGGCCCCCAGGCAATAGGGGATCATGGGGCCCGTGTCCTTGGCCAAACTCAAAAAAGCCTATGAAAAAAGTAACAGGATGCATCTCATGGGGCGCCCTACTTACCCCGGACCCTCGGGCAGTGCCCGAGTTTTCAAATGGTCAGTCCGCCCCTGGCTGCAGTGTACATGAGCCATTTGACTGGCTGAAAAACGCATCCCTACATATACATGCGGGTCGCAGCAGAGCTGCACAAGGAGCTGTCTCTTTAAGCACTTTGTTTGGGTGCCACGAGTACACGCCCCTGCTTCGCTGTCACCCCGCCCAATACAGGAGATCTGTCATCGCGAACAGTTGAAGCCGCAACACGCTTCAGTCCCGCCCACCGGCGACACACCCACTACAACGCCTTCTGTCTATGGCTGTCACTCGACGAACTGCGGGGAGGTGGCGCGCAGGTGAACAAAGGGGGCGTGTCTGCGCGTTCACAGCGCTCTTGGTAAGGAGGTGTGCCCGGCTGCGTGAGAGTGCTTGTCGCTGGGACGTTCCCCTCCTCTTGCCAGGCCTTCTCGACGTGCTCGCGCTCCGCCATGTTGTTGTGGTTGTGAGGAGGAAGGAAGAGCCCGGGCTGACAGCAACCGAGAACGGGGAGGGGTGAAGAGACAGCTGACTTCGGGGGAGCTCCTCTGCTATAACCCGCACGGTAAGCTGGGAGCCCGGCTTCTATTGGCTCCGCTGCTCTCATATGTTCTATATACGTGTATGACATCTGAGTGTATAGAGTGTGAGTGTCTAGGTGTCTCCCCTGTGGGGTCAGCAGGTACGTGTCGTCTGTGTTCATTATACGAGGAGTACATATGGTGGGCGCTGTGTACGCAGACTGAGGAGCCCGGCCTTGTCCCGAACATGGACTTGTCTTCTCATACACCTGCATGGCTCCTGGCCGGGGCTCCACACACCATCCCCTCACCTCCCATTCTGTTGTGGTGGTGGTAGTGTGGTCATGTGACTGCTGGAAGAGTGGCCGTGCTTTGTCAGTCTGCCCTCATCTCATGACATTTTGGCCACCGGCGCTTTTAGTTTTTGTTTCGCCTTTACAGGGCAGGGGAGTCCCTCAGCCATAGAGCCATTGAATCATTTGCAGTCTGTTCGGGGATTTGAGGCTACCTGCACTGCTTGTAAACTGAACCAGCTTGGATTTCAGTGTTTGCACAGTAATTAAAGCAAGCAAAGCGAGATCCCAGGGTTTGTGAAATATGGATCAGAATGGGTTTGTTAGAGAAGGACGTTTATCTTGGCTCAATTGGGAATTAGAACTAGTTTGGTGTGTGTGATCAAGGACACAGGCGCACTCGTTAAAGTGGAACTCTGGTCTAAAAAAAAAAAGTCAGTAGGTACAAATACTGTAGCTGCTGACTGTTAATATAAGGGCACTTACCTGTCCAGGTGTCTGGTGATGTCCACACCTGAGCTGATTTCCTTGATCTGCTTCAGGTGCAGGCACCAGCATCTTAACTAAGGGCTCGTTCACACTTGGCTGTTTTACCAACGCTTGCCAAACGCCCTTATAGCGTTTGGCAAGCGTTGGTCCGGTGTTTGGAGCGGTTTTTAACACTCGGCATGCGCAGTTTAGCGGCTGTTGCTGGGCGTTTGCCGAGCGTTAATAACGCCCCACAAACGCCTATAATGCAGTTTGAGTGGTGTTACCGCTCCGCAACCGCGCCGCAAACGCCGGCCAGGCGTTTGCGGAGGGGTACCATAGACTAAAATAGGAGGCTTCAACGCCTCCTGATTCGACCAGAGGCGTCCGTTTTGCCGTGATGCAAATGCTCCCGTTAGAACAGCACCATGTGCTGTAATGGGCAGAATTGGCAGAGGTGTTTGGGAAGCGGTAAAAACGTTTCCCAAACTCCTCTCTGCCGCCTGCACACAATGCTAGTGTGAACGTAGCCTTAGGGAAACCACCAGCCCTGCTTTACAGCTGGTTTCCTACTTTGTGATTGGTCCCACTGTTTTTGTGTGACCTGTGATATGTCCCAGAAGGCTGCAGGGGCCAGAGATTGCCATGTGAACTCAGCCAGAAGTGGGAGTGGATATCTGTCAAAGAGGTGAAAAAAGTGCCAAAAATGGAGGGGGGGGGATGCCAACAAGCAGAACTTCATATTTTGGGTGGCATTCCAATTTAAAGTGTTACTAAACCCAGGACCCTGCATTCACTATATGCGATCTCCCACAGAACATGGAAATGCAATTATTTTAGTAAACTGATAAATACCTTTTTTTCTCATCAGCAGTTAGAGCAGTCTTGTGACTTCTATCAGTGTCCAGCTGAGCACTGGTTAATCTTGTAGGAGATTTCATTCCCCTTTTGACTGTTCTATGAGGCTGCATGACCTCTGACCCTTTGTCCAGACAGTGCTGATTGAACCTGTGAAAAAAACAAAAAACCCTAGCAATACACACCAAACTGAATATGTGCAGAGAATCTCCTAAGGATCTGTACTATCGTGAGATGGATTGGGGACATTGGAAGAAAGGGAGGATTAGAGAAGACAGGATCAAACAGCCTTTTTACGTAGTGTGGAGGATTAACTCCTTAGGTCCCACAGTGAGTAAATGAGTGGTGCAGGGCTGGACCACTATACAAAGCATAAAGTGGTAACTTACTTTTCTTAAAATGTTACTAAACCCAGGACCCCGTATTCACTATATCTGGTCTCACACAGAACATGGAAGTGCAATTATTTTAGTAAATATAAACTAAATACCTTTTCTCATCAGCAGTCTTGTGACTTCTATTCGTGTCCAGAGGAGCACTGGTTAAAGCTTGTAGGAGTTTTCATTTTGCTCTAGGAGGATGCAGAATCCCTGACCTGTCTTTACAGTCCTGATTGGCCTTGTGCTGATCACATGCACTCTCCCAAGAAAAACAAAAAGCCTTTCTAGCAATACACACCAAACTGAGCATGTGCAGAGTGAGTCTACATGATATGTCTTATCAAGAAATGAGGGGGCACTGGAAGAAGGGGAGGATCAGAGAAGTCGGGATCAAACAGTATTTTTACACAATGCAGAAGATTAACCCCTTAGGTTTCACAGTGAGTATAACAAGCATGCTTTACTGCATATACAGACTGATTTTACTGTTGTGGGTTTTAATCACATTTTAAAATAGTTCTTAAGGTACAAGACGTTTTTTTTTACCTTTTGTGCAGCTGAACCCCCCCCCCCCCCCCCCCCCCCCCCCCAATACTTGCCTAAGCCCGATCTTAATCCAGTGATGTGCACAAGAGCAGATCTCTCTTCTCATTGAAAGAGACAGAGAGGCAGCAGCGATAGCCATTGGTTTCTGCTGCTATCAAATCACAACCAGAGAGGAGAGGGCAGGACACCCAAAGCCTGCTTGGGAGTGAGCACGCACAAGTGCCTCCAGGGCAAGTGGCTTGCTATTGGTGCACTCAGCGGGGAGGAGGAGCCAGGAGTGCCAGTGGGGGACCCGAGAGAAGTAGGATTGGGGCTGCTCTCTTCAAAAACCATTGCACAGAGCAGGTATGTTTTTAGGGCCTCTTGCACATGGGAGTAAAAATGCAGATTTTTTTTTTTTTTTTTTCTGACTTGAAATGAGATGCATTGTTCTCTATGGGACACTGCACACAGCTGAGTAAAGATCAGCAATACAGCGTTGAGTACAGATCAGTAAAATAGAAAATGTTTAATTTGAGTGCTGTAATTTACTTGTATGTTTGCGCAAAATTTAAATGAGTATATTGCAATTCTGGCAATGAAGAAGAATTTTACTCGTCTATGCACTAACACACCTTTACTCGCCTATACTCAGCATTACTCAGGTCTTTACACAGTTTGTGGCCCCTTACACATGGGCGTCACAGGTTCCTCCGTAAATGATGAGGCCTAACACTTTTTTTTTTTTTTTTTGTTATTTTACAAAAATGCATTTAGAATCACTTTAAAACCAGAAATGTAATATATATACAGCTTACTAAGTATTGGATGTGGCTGCATTAGCTTTCTCTTTTAGTTTTCTTTCTCTGTTTTTTCTCTGTTTTCAATTAGTGATCTGGCCAGTAACGCACTTCTTGTAATTGAGTGCCTCCACATTGGATGAAGGAGGGCCAGGGGGCACATTTGTACAGCCGCATTGTCAACCTGGGGCATGGGAGTGTTGGATGTACTAGCAGATTTAAATACACTAACAAATTTGAAGCTTACTTCCAGCTCACACTTTATAAGCAGTTACAGCAAACAGTTTTTTTTTTTTTTTTTCTTTTTTGAGATAAAGGTTTTACTAATATAAAGGCTGATCATTGTAAGCACCTCTGTCAGTGGTAAAAGGTTTGTCTCAACACTGACTGCTACATCTGCAAGAGAGCTTGTTCTTTTTGAAAAAACAGACTTGCTGGTTTAATCACCAGGTGAAAATATAGGAAAAAGAGGGGGGGGGGGGGGAAAGGAAACTAATGCAGTCCTCAAATCTAAGAATTGGTAAACTGCAATATTGGTAAGTGGGTTTAAAACCACCTCAAGGGATCGTGGACATTTGTAGGCATTTTCTGAGTATAGAAGCCTGAGAAGGCAAGATCTCATTTTCTCAGCACAGCTTTCATTTAGGGTTCATGCACATGGCTGTTTGCAGGTATTTTATATGCATAGCATAAGCTACTCGGGGCTCTTCTGTGCCCAAGGTGCCGCAGCTGGGAACTGTTTACGGTATATTTCCCGAACTTCCACGCGTGCGTGGGTAAAAGCATATGCAAACGAGCATCCACGCTTACAAAGTATGGCCGCTTGCAGCCATTTTCTTGACTGCCAGGCTGTGTGTGCCAGTGACCGGACTTAAGGCATGGGAAAGCCCCAGGAAACTTACACTAAACATATAAAATGCCTACAAATGGCCATATGCATGAACTCTAAAAGAAATCTGTGTTGAGAGAATTATTTACCTAGCTGTAGGTTTTGGTCTATTTTCAGTTCTATGTTCCAACTTCCCCCACGACTCCAATCTTGCCAAGGTAAAAAATGAAGTCGCATTGCCCCCACTGTTTCCAGGGATATCCATGTCCTGTATCCCAGGAGGCATAGACACAATGTTGAAGGAGGAATGCCTTGAGGTGCCGCATAAAACCTGGAAGAGACAGTCTGCTTCCAATGACCTTGGTGAGTTAGGTGGCAGGGTGCAACAGCAGATCCCTACAATGTTGGATTTGCTCAGAGGGTGAGTATGTTTCTAGCTCAAACCAGCATAAAAGGGAAGTGGAGATGGAGAAAAAAAAATAAGTAGGGTTCTTTGGAAGCCTACAAAAGTACAAGTGATGTCAGAACTTCTAATCTGTATACTCATTTGAGCCAGCAGCTCAAAAACAATTGAAGTTCTTAGATCCGCATGAGAGTCCGGAAAAGTCATTCCCAGTGGAACTTCCAACTATGACAGCCTACATATTTGTCTACAGGTCACTTTTAAAGTATTATTAAACCCTCAGATTGTAAAAACCTTTTATAGCAGCTTACCTGTGCACTTGTGTTGTCTGCTGCATCTTCTTTAAAAGCCTTTCATCTTCACTGAGCTGGTCATAATATCCCTGCTGCAGGTTTCCTCTTCTGGGGTGGCTTTGCTACCTACTGTTGCCACTTTTACATGTGTGCTTCCAGGAGACAGACTCAAACCTGATGTGAGGTTACTGCCTGTATCAATGCACAGACAGGCAAGAGAGGACCAGACAGGCAAGAGAGGACCAGACAGGCAAGAGAGGACCAGACAGGCAAGAGAGGACCAGACAGGCAAGAGAGGACCAGACAGGCAAGAGAGGACCAGACAGGCAAGAGAGGACCAGACAGGCAAGAGAGGACCAGACAGGCAAGAGAGGACCAGACAGGCAAGAGAGGACCAGACAGGCATACATGCACAGTATTGCTTTAAACCGTGGTTGGTATGGTCACCAGGAGAGATATTGGGGGACATTCTGATGCTCTATGCTGTTGGTATTGCATGCTCTGTTCATAAGTTCAGTGTTGTGTGTATGTGTTTAAAAGTGATCACATGACCTCTATTCTTAGATACATAAGGGGCATAGAGAGCTGGGGGTGGCATGTCATCAGGAGGCAGAGAAACAGCAATACACTGATCTTCCAGCTAAAGAGCTGTGGGGGGGATGATGTCAGCACAAGCCTGACAATTGGAGTATAGGGTGCACTCTTTAGTTGAATGCAAAGAAGAAAACTGACCACACTGGGATGGAAGTGCTTCCATGCCCTGGTGTGATCAGTTTGAAATGGGAAATCCGGGAAACTGGCAGGATCACCAGGTATTTTACACAAAGGAAGCAATGCAAGGAAAACCGGATACTGTTTCATGCAAGTACATAGTACAACAGGCACATATTAGGCATATGAAATGTTAGAGTAACAAACGCCTTCAAAATCCTTCATTGATAAAAGGATACAGTCCATTTATTTTCCCTTTTTAGGCTCTATATACCTTTTTTTGTATTGGGGTTGCACTGATAGTGTGGTTTTTGTTTATCAGTGAGTATGAGTACCAATACTTGTGCTCAATTACACGCAGTTACTCATTATCAATACCTTTACAGTGTGATTTGAGCTATACAAAATTAATAGCTCAAATCACACCGCACCCGCAGAGAAACTGTATGTGAGTCGGACAGAAATCGCACTGTATTCTTGTTCAAATTACATACAGTTCTTTGCAGTGTGATTTGAGCCCATTCATTTTGTATGAGCTCAAATTGCACCGCAAATGTTTCAGAGCAGTTGTACGAGTACTCGAGCAAATGCTTATTATCCGCACTGCTACCGGTATTGGTGCAACTCTACTTTTCATGTGTGTGAGTTTTTCACTTGTGCTGTAAATACTGTATACTGTAAGTACTGTTGTTCACACAGCCAATTGTTTGTTTTTCTTTCTGGTACTGTTGGGATTCATTTTGTATTTTACCAGCATGACAGGCATTTGTGTTTAAGATCTACATGCATTGATATCTAGCCATTAAACATTTTTGAATGGCAAAAAATCAGTGGAATACATTGATAAAACTTTTCAGGGTGCTAAATTTCTCATGTACAACATTTGCCATCAAAACCATGTAGGTTAATGAATGTCTGCTAAATATCTCAAACTAAAGATGTTGCAAATATTTGTAATACAAAACCGTTCTTTGGCAGAAAAAATGCATCAGCAAAGGTTTCATTCAGTTATGGTGTATTTAAACCCAAGAATGAAAATGTAATATGTTACAGGTTACCAGTCCAGATGTGGTGGATGCAATCCTTCCTTTATATTTTCAGTCCTTCTTGGCTTTACTTTTTTACCTGGCGATTTTGTCAGTAACCTGCCATCACTGTACTATAGCCATAGAGGTGTAGCGTTATCATCCCTAGAACAGGAGGCATGTTAGGACTGACCATCTCCATAACATAGTGGCAAAGAGCACAGTAAGAAATCGGCTCAGCTACAGGTTTTTTTTTTTTTTTTGACTATCAAATGCATATAACAAAACCATTTTAATGGTATATTTTAAAGACCAAAAGGGAGTTAAGTATAAGTAGGTCATTGTTGGGGTGTACATATACTTTTTAAAGGGGCCCTGTCACCAACCCAAATAATGCAGTTAAAAACTAGTTAGGCTTACTGGTAACTTTCTATGAATCTTCCAGGACAGCAGAGAGAGATGACCATAGTCAGTGAAAGACCCCACCTGCCCCCTTTGTCTCTGGGCTGAAAGTAGACTACCTCCACCAGTGTATGAGGAAAAAAATATTAAAAAATAACCACATTAAACATGGCTGGGAAAAAGTTGTGTGGTCCTGGAAGATTTATAGAAACGCTGTTACTAGTAAGTGTTTTGTTTTTTTTTTTTTTTTTTTTTTTTTTTTTTTTCCCCTCTGGGGGATTCTCCAGTTATTTTGCAGGATAGCAGCAAAGGTGTTTACTACTTGCTTTTTCCTATCTCAGTATGGGTCCACTGCCTGTAGAAC